TGTCTGCTCCTTAGTTTTAACATAGGTTTATTTTTATTTTTGTTTGTGAGCAGACACACTCAATTTACTTGTATTCTCTTTTGCTATGCATCTTCTTGATGCGTTTAATGAAATTCTCTTACTTCATCAAAAAAAGTAGACATAAAAACTTGATTCCAACTTTCTTCTTGTTCTTGATATTCTTTCGCGTGTATGACATTTCCCTACTAATTTTTGAGTATTCTATGGTGAATATTAGCTTCTTTTGAAATTTAATTTAGTTTAAAGAATTTAGTTCTTACGAAATAGTTAATTACATGTGTTTTCGTTCTTGCAAAATTTATGTTGTTTTGTCTTAATTAGAATTTTCAAACTCTACCAACGCTGCAGAAATATCTTTTGGTTGTCTAGTACACTGTTTATTATTTAGTAATAGACTTGTTAAGTAAAATAAATAATTAAGATGATTTTGCATTGACAATATTTTTTTCAGAAGAACGAGACTTATTAGAATAAAGGGAGACCCCATTGACTCATTTAATGAGAAGGAGAATCTGGAGATTATTATTAACAGTGAAGTGGCCTCGAAAGAATGTGAAGAAGTGAATCATGGATAGGCCGATATTTTTGTTTTAGAAAAGATATACTAGGAATTACATAAAGAATACTAGGATAAAATAGTAAATTATTGGTCAAAGAAAAAATGCTTATACGTTAAAAAGCCATAAGCTTGGGGTGACCAACTTATGATTTATGGCTTATTTGGCTTATAAGTACTTTAGGTGTTACTAAACGCATAGATAAGTTAAAATAATTATATGCCAGTTTGACCAACTTATAAGCCTAGCCAAAAACCGTGTCAACTGACTTATGCTTTTCTATGTTTTCTTAGTTTTGGGGCAGCAATTGTCAATATGAGAGTCATTATTTTCTGCCAGTAGGATATTTTCGTCCTTATCCAAATATTAATAATTATCAAATTCACCCACACGCTTGTATTTAAAGGAATCTCTTTTTGGTGTATGTTGTATTATAATCAGACTTCTTAAGTCTATATTGCACATTGAAGCTGTCAATGTGGGGAGAAATTCAAAAATAGCTAGATTTACAAGTGGTCATTCAAAATTAACCACAATTTCAAAAGTAATCGAAATTTAGCCACTTTTCATGTAAAGATAAATTTGAACGAAAGCGTTGTTCAAAATCAGGAAAAATACTCCAGTATAATATTCCAATATATTATACTGGAACTCTAGTATATTATACTGGAGTTCTAGTATAATATACCGGTCCAACATAATATACTGGAGATTGAAGCACCAATCTCCAGTATATTATACTTGAACTTTCCGTGTGTTGGAGTTCCAGCATAATATGCTGGAAGTTCATACACTGGTGTACCGATCTCTACTATATTATGCTAGAACTTTCCGTGTTGCAGCAAAATAGTAGCTATTTTTCAACGACTTTGCAAACGCTGGCTATTTTTGAATGACCAGTCCGAAAACTGCCTAGCCCGTGCTATTTTTACGTCAATGTGCGGACTGGGCTGGGCTGGGCTAGCCCACCATTTTGATAAGCCTTATAAAGGTCAGCCCATCCTAGCCCTTCGTGGGTTGCGGGCCCTCACGGGCCTGCCCATCATTTTTTTAAATATAATTTTATATTTTTTCTTTAAGTTCTAACTTAAAAAAAGATAAATATTTAAAAGTTAAAAAATCTTATTCGAAAAATCTCACAAAGCTTAATAATTATACTGTTCCAATATATCACAATAAAACTAAAAAGATAAAAGACAAGACTATATTCATTCACTAAAAGTAAAAACTTAAAACAAACTATTCAAGAGAATGTCCATGACGCTTGTGTGATATCCAACACATTATTTTCATCAAACACATTTGAATCCGCTTGCGAGAAGGTTGTCTTAACATCTTCACTGTCATCTACATCTACAATTCGTATGCAATACTAATTAGTTAAATATTAAAAATTATTAAAATTTTAAAACTAATGAAAGTTTTAGACTTTGATATTTTAATATAATGAGCTTAATAAACTTTATGCTTGGGATACTCTTATTGATATTTTTTGTGTTATATAATTTTTATATTTTAAATACATATTTTTATTAGGCCACGGACCGGCTCAGCCCAACCTCAGTCAAGCCTCACGGGCCACGGGCTTACTCGGATCGGGCTTAAAAGCCTCGTTTTTAAATGGGCTCCAAAAATTCTAGCCCAACTCTGCTAAATCACATGCTGGGCTAGGATGGCTCAACGGGCCAAGCCCATATTGACGGATTTTTAAATGAGACTTTTTCCTTCCTATATCATATATGAAACCTTATTACCAAAAAATGTGCATAGTTTCATATTTACCCGCCATGTTCACAGTTTTTCTATAATTNAATTATTAGGAGTTGATTCCTTCCTAATTAGGCGCGCTACAAATCAGGAACAAAATATTCTAATTGATTTAGCGACCTTCAGATCAAATTTGAAACGCAAATCCTATATCTTCAATTTAAAATCAAATTACATAGACTCTTTTCTGCAAAAACTCTGTTCTTCGATATTTTTCCTTAAGCCACAAATCAAAAAAAGACAAAATCGTCAACAAATTCGAATCAAATTGTAGAAATCAGTTCTGCAAAACTCAGTTCGTCGACATTCTCTCTACATCTCTCTCTATTTCTCAATCGCAAATTTCAGTAATACAAAGCAAATGAAAAGAGAGCAGCAATTCCACCATTGACAGCCATTAAAAAGCTTGAAAGCTTTGAATTCAAATTTGGGTTTTCAAAAATCATTATTTGTTTGGATTGGGTGTTGTTGAAAATAATCGGGAATATGATTTGGAGTTTATATCTCAATTTTGTGGGGTTTTGGTGAAGATTAGACTTGGTTTTGACTGAATTTCATATTCAAACTCGAAGAAGAAGACATATTGCAGAAATTGTAGATAAATTGTAGATTATTTGTATTCTGATTGTAGATGCTTTATTTTCTGTTTTCACAAATAAAAAACGGCTAAAACTTCTACAAATCTTCTGAAAAAACGCAATTATGTCAAAAATCCCAATTATGCTACAATTGAATGGGAATTGGGATATAAAAATTCAATGTACCCAGTTTGTAGATATTTTATAGGTAAAATGTAGATTATTTGCATTCTAATTGTAGATGCTTTGTTTTCTGTTTTCACAAATCAAAAACGACTAAAACTTCTACAAATCTTCTGCAAAAACGCACTTATGTCGAAAATCCCAATTAAACTACAATCGAATGGGAATTGGAATATTAAAATACAATATAACCAGTTTGTAGATATTTCGTAGATGAATTGTAGATTATTTGTATTTTTATTGTAGATGCATTGTTTTCTGTTCTCACAAATCCAAAACGACTAAAACTTATACAAAATCTTCTGCAAAAAACGCAATTGTGTCGAAAATACCAATTAAGCTACAATTGAATGAGAATTTATAGTTCTATTTGAGGAATGAAGCAGATCTACGGTTTTTATCTGATGAACAATTAACTAATACTGTGCTTAGCTTGGATTCAGGTTTTAGAGTTAGTAGATTTGGTAATTTTCACCTATACGAATATGTAGCACTAGCTGAAAGTAGTGGGTGCTACGATATGCCTTATCAATAGTGTGGATCTGCTCATAATTTATCTGTACTGTTTTGATAGATGTTCTTATTTCTTGTTTACTTTTGGCTGGAGTTTACCTTGGTGATTAATATTTTCGAACCTACTTTCGGTCTTATCTTGGCATAAATTTTTTTTCCTTCTGATTTGTTCCTTTTGGTTGTCGCTTTTGTGAATTTTGAAGATCTATGCTTTAGATAAAAGGTCCTTATCTTAAAACATAAAATAAAATAGAATGGGTTGTGACAGAAGGTTTTGAATATACGGTACCTTGAATTAAGGAGGGATATACGCTGCATTAATTGTACCCTTAAAATACACTATGGCATAGAATTGGTAATTTGATATACTAAATATAATTATATCAAACATTAAACATTGAGGGTAATAATGTTTCTATATGGTATAGGAATGTAAAAATCTCTTTTTAAATTCAATTTCCACTTCCTCTTGGATATGCATTCTACGGCGTGCCTCAAATCATTTAATTTGACAAATTTAAAAATCCATTACATCCCAAAAACTAAAACAACAAAAGGTTTAGTTGATCCAAATTAGAAGTGAAAATGATATTAGCCTTACAATTAGAGTTGAATTCAGCATTTAAATTAATTATTTTTTTGAAAATATGAATTTTGAAAAACACCCAAAAGCCGTTTTTCAAAATTTTCACTCAAATCACTCACGAAACTTCAAAAACAACCAAAAATTATATTCATGTCCAAACACAACTCTAAATTTTAAATACTACCATTTTCACTTAAAAATTTTTATCACCCTATTTTGGATTTACGATTCGTATGTCCAAACGCCCACTAGATGTTTATACTACTTTTTAAAGTTTTTCACATATATTTTCTAATATGATCTATATCAGAAATGATAGTTCTAATTGAACCTACTCAAGGGCGGAGCTAGAGTGACGCCAGCGGGTTCGACTGAACCCAGTAGCTTTAGTTTGAACCCTGTATTTGTTTTAAAAAATTTGTTAAATATGCATAATTATTAATTTAGAACCCAGTAATTCAAAACGATTAGAATCCCGAACCCATAAATTTGAAATACTGGCTTCGCCTCTGAACCTACTCCTAACATTTTAAGCGCGCCTCTGGGCTAGTTGCAATTGTACCAAAGATGTGACATGCTTTTAATATTTAGCTTTCGCACTATTCACGGACTTATGTCATCCTTAAGATAAGAAAAGAAAAAGAAGAAAAGAGCAGGGGAAGTAATGAAGAAAAGAATAGGGAGTAAAGAAATTTAAAAAAAAAAAAAAAAAGATCGATATTAGGAAAGCCACATAAGAGATGACACATATTGAAGATATCCCTTTCTTTACTTTCAGGCTTGAAGAAGGTAAGTTAAAACCACTAAGCTATCCAACCATGAATGAACCACCCATTTTTCCCTCCCATTCTTCTCCTTATTATACATAGTATTAGCTATTTATTTAAAGCATCATCCTAAAAGACCCTCTTTTTTGTTATTCCTACTACTATTCTTTTTAGCCTTGAAGAAATGTGGCAGAATCAAACTTCTTCCTTTAGAGAATCCATCAAAGCCCTTGAAGCTGATATTCAACATGCCAATACTATGTAACTCTCTTTCTTTCTTTTTATGTGTTTTTGTTTCTGTGCCAATATAAGAAATTGTCCTTTTTTCTTATCTGTTATTTCTGATCAATTTTCTATTCTTCATCTTATGTGTTGGTTGAACTTGCACATCAATATGATTGTTGGATAGTTTCTTTCATCAATAAATTAAAATTTGTGTTTTTGATATTGAAATTGGTGCAAATTTACTACTTACTTAGTAAAGTAGCTCAAGCCGAAACATTTCCTTTTTTAACAACCATTTCCCATTTCTATTTGTTTGATGTTTAAATTTGGATTTAGATATACCGATGGTTAATTGACTCAGATTTATAGCCACAATCAGAGGTGAAGCCACTAAATTAGCCGGGGCTTTAGGTGTCAGGCTTTTGGGCGCCTCAATTTTTTTTCAATTTCTACTTGATGACTGGTATTTAATTTGAAGCATTAATTAATTCAAACTCGTATCTTGTAAAATCCAATAAAGTGGGAACATCTGGTTAAAGAAGAGACATCATATCCATCCTACCGCAACTCTTCTAGCGAGGCCCCAAATCTTTTTAAGAAAATATAAGTATTTCAAAGTAGAAAGTTAAATGTTTTATATATATAAAACATTTAACTTTCTACTTTGAAATACTTATATTTTCTTAANAGAAAGTTAAATATTTTATATATATATATATATATATATATATATATATATATATATATATAAAAGCTTACATTTATCATTAGAAAATGAGTAATACACTTTTAAACTACATTTTTATTTCTTTTTTGTCTTTTATCAAATTTTCATCATTGCAACAAGTATATTGAAACATTAAAAAATATTTTAATATAAAGTTATCAATTTCTTAAATCAGGTTCTATTACCTAAGATCGATAGTGTCACAAGAGAGATTAAATGGTTTATGCAAAAAATTATTAAATAAAAAATATACTTCAATTATAAATATATAGAATTTTTCTTTTTTAATTCCATTAAAGTTTGCTTTAGGCCACCAAACTTATTGAGGCGACCTCGGCCACAATCTTGAAATGTTAATAAATACTTATCATTTTGTATTTGCGCTTGACTTATATGGAGCTCCAGCATGTCAAAATACTTTGGAGAAAATGTTCAGATTTACACCTCTACTATGGTTTAAAGTTACCATTGGTTATACTTCATGTTGGAGTCCTTTGCCCAAGGTTAATTTGCTTTTGAGGCGGTTTAATTAAGTTTCCTCTTACTGTTTGCTTGTTTTTTTTTCCTATCTTTGTTCTTGGTTATCAATTGATTGCAGGGCAGCAGCTCTTCCGCGGGATCTCGATGGGGATTGTGTTCAGATGAAAGTTTGCTACGGCTTTCTTGCTCCGTTCTTGCTATTTCTGATAGAATGGATGGACTATAGTTGCTTAGATAATCTTGCTACTTGTTTAGGCCTCCTTCACATTCTTGTTTACAGGGTGAGTTTCCATTTTTACTTAAATAACTTTGTCTGTGAACCAAATGACCCTTTAGAGTTGTCATTGTCATTTGTTTCATCTCTCAAAGGGTATATATTCTCTCAGTATTGCTTCGCTTCTATACCTGATGTTTAAACTAGTCATCGTTGCAGGTCTATGTTGATGGAATTCCAACAATGTCCCCACAAGAAAGGAAAGCTACAATTAAAGAATTCTACGGTTTGCATTCTTTCCTTGTTTGGTTTATTCTGGAGATTAGATGCTATATGGGGTGGGAGACAGAAAAACAAGAGAAAGTTCTCAAATCAAAAGTAAATTTGAGATTGTTAGAAGTTGGTTAATCAAGTTCATGATACTGCTACTTTTCTCCTTTTTCATCTGCAGCTGACGATATTAAAATGATACTGGAGGGAGTGCTAGGATTTCATCTGTTTTTTTTTAAAAAATCTTGCAGCCATTATATATCCTTCACTAAAGCAGCTAGAGGGAAATCTAGTGGAATTAATGAAGGAGAATGATAAAATAACTCAACTCTCTCACACTTGGAATGGAGAAGGAGTGGAAGAGAAGAGACAGTCATGTAAAAGTATAGAGGCAGAAGAAGAATGCGACATATGCATGGAGACTGGCGCCAAGGTGGTTCTGCCTAATTGTGGCCATTCCATGTGTGTTGTCTGTTTCCATGACTGGTATGAAAAAAGACTCCCGTTTGCATAACTAGTTTCAGCATATTAACAAGATATTGCATAACTTGTAACAAAGACACTACATTCCATTACTATTTATCTTTCAGGTACATCCGGTCTCAATCATGCCCTTTTTGCCGAGGTAGTCTAAAGAGAGTGAGCTCCGGAGACTTGTGGGTTCTAACTAGTGACTGCGATGTGGTTGATAGCACTGTACTTGCGCAGGAGAACCTAAGGCGCTTCTACCTTTATATTGATAAGTTGGCACTTGCTGTGCCTGACACCAATGTGATGCTTTACGACTATATGATATAGCGTTGGAAGTGGAAGCAATGAATCATGCATACTGGCCTATTATCAAATATGCACGATTCGTCTTTAAATCCCATATAATACAGCGGAATAAGGGCTCTCACTCGCATTGTATATAGTTAGCTAAATACTAGCTGTCCATACTGCAACTCAGAGCTTCAGCGACAAGGTGTTTGTGGAATGACTACTCTTTGCACATGATTGCTTTGTGCAATTCCGGATAAGTTTCTTAAATGGAGGAAAATTATGTAAAGGGTCATCTAACTCATGACAATAGAAAGCATGGAGATATGTCTGACATTCAACTCAGTTTTTTTGGGACCTGAGTGCTGAAATGGGAAGGCAAATGACTAAAAGGATTTATTTACCGTTGGCAAGTTTAGCTGCTGATTGTAATGCTTGTACAGTATATTACAATGAAAAATAAAGGATGTATTTACCTGTTACTCACCAAAGCCATGTGCTTTTTCCATTTTTTATATCCCAATGTTCATCATGGGGAAGAAAAATCTTTAATTGCAGAGCAGGGTATAGTGGAAAACTCATGGTTTTAACTTATTTCGTATTTAAGAAGTGGTCCATCTGCTTTTCATTTCATAATAAAGTGAGCATTTTATTGTAAATATCACAAAAATACACCGAAATTCTTCAAAGCTTGAAGAGTATCAAAGAGATTTTTTTTTCAAAATCAAATTTGGATTAGGCTTCACGTGTATATTTCATGCAGAAGGGCGAGCCCAATCCCTTTTACTAGTTCTTTACAAGCCCAAAAGAATAACTCATTATAAATTGAAAAAGAGAACTCTTTCTAGTCCACGAGGGATACTTCATTTTGAGATATTATTCACAACTTCTCTACACATTTAACTCTCAATCTAGAGCTACAGTCAGGATTAGTGACTAACGTTCTCCAATGACATCCTCAATCATTTGACAGAATATTGTTGCAACTATGTGTTTAATTATGAAGATATTCATAGCTATATAATTGAGTGCCTAGAGGAATTCCTTCAATGTGTACCTATGAAGATATACATAGCAACATAATTTGGTGCCTAGATCCTTAATAAGTGGCTCACCAATAGCTGCTAGCAAGATACTCAGTTACAACTTTTAGCCTACTTTTAACTTTATTCTATCGAAAAAAACAGGTTTTCTTCCAATAAACAACCAAGGTTGTAGCCTAACAATAAATAATTGGTTGAATACTATAGGAAACTACAACTCAAATTTCAACCGACCTAAGAAATTCTCCGTGATTTTTTCCTATCTGCCTAAGCTTTAGTGACACAGTTGCCTTATATCTGATACTCGATGAAATAAGAAGTGTGATAAGTTGGTCAAGACACCATTGTTATTAAAAAGTGTAAAACTAGCCAAATAGTAATACCTCTTAAGTTGGTGTTGGGCCAGCTAAAAATGATAGGGGTAAGTTGCACTTTATTGTGTAAAAATTGCACGGGGCACCCTATTTAGTCGCCCCCATTTAACCTATACCCATTTTTTTAAAAACTTTTAACTTGTACCCACTTTTTAAACAACTTCAGCTCCCTTTCTCCTCCTCAAAGTTTTATCTTTTCTTTTCCAGAAGTAAGGTTCATCCCTATCTGCTTCTTCTTATTTCTCCGGCGAGTTCTATAAATTTTCACGCCAATTTATACATCTAAAACAACCAATTTGCTTTCTTCATCACTTCCTATCACGTGACATGCATATATATACAACTGACTTGGTGATTTGTTTGATTAATTACTACTGTTGGACCACATTTCAAGGAAGCTAACAACTTCCTATGGCCATTCCAGCTTAAGGCACCTCTTGGTGGACCCAAGGAGAAGAGAAACCACTATGTTGAAGGTGGTGACGCTGGAAACCGCGAGAATTACATCAATGAGCTCATCAGGAGGATGAACTAAAAGAATCTCACTAAGCAGCAAATTTTGTTTCTTTAGAAGTGTTTGTTTTTGGTGTTTGAACTGTTTGTAATATGGAACTAGTCAGGATTCAGGTCTTGTTCGCAAGGTTAAGTTCAGTTCGGTCAAGATGGTGTGGCAAATGAAATTATAAACAAACAAAAACTTCAGTTGCAGAGCTGAAGTTCCCCAGTTACAAAGATAAAAATTTCAGCTCTAGAGCTGAAGTTCCCCGGTTACAAAGACAAAAACTTCAGCTCTAGAGCTGAACTTCAGGCTCGGCTACTAGAATGCTGAAGTTTAGCGTGATTGCCTTTGCTATTTCAGCCCCGTATGCTGAAGTTATGCGAAAAAGCGGGTATGCTTGCAATTTTTTTTGCAAAGCGAGCACAAGTTAAAACGTGACACAAAAAATGAGTATAGATGCAAATGCCCCCTTTATTGTGCTCCATTTCTTTTATTTCCTTTTTGTTAAGATAAGAGAAAATAAGACAAAAGAGCTAGTGACATTTGTCCAAGGGTTACTTACTACAAGTAGATGACTCTAGGATTTTCTTTCCCCGACATTCATATGTTTTTGGTGAGTCGGACATTTAGGCCTCATTTGTTTGCACTTAATGGAGGTCTGAATCTTAATCATCCAGATCTCAGACATTAAGTGCATTTGTTTTTAAAGTCTGAATCTTAATTATTCAGATCTTAATCATTAAGTGTGTTTGTTTTTCTAACTTCACAGCCACTTAATGGGTCTGAATAGGTCTGTATGATTAAGATCTACAACAGAGATTTATTTTCATTAAGATGGTATCACATATTCATTATTAACTGCCACCACCGCCTACCATTACCAACTACCACCATGCCACCTCTACCACCCTACTCAACCACCACCACCACCACCTCCACCTCCACCTCCACCACCACTACCACCACCACGCCATCATCATCCTCAATCATAGCTGCCATTATTATCGACCATCACCACCCACTATCCCCACCACTCCGACCACCATATATCATTCTCACCCACAATTAACACCCATCCACCTCAACTACCACAACTGACCACCCCATCACCATCAACAACCTCAGTCGGCACTGCCCATCATTATAACCTACCACCACCCACCCACCACCTATCTCAGTCACAACTACTACCACCACCCGCCATTATTAACTATCACCACCCACCACCACCATCCTCAATCATAATCACCACCACTACCAATCACTACTAGCTACTAGCATGAACCACCATCATCAACCAAAACTACCACCAACCACCACCTCTAGTCGGCATCACCCGTTAGCCATCACCACCAACAACTATCATATTTTAAAAAACTACATATTTTATTGATAGAATATTAGATTAGTTAGTATTTCATTTGAATTTTATGTTTATTAATTTTAATAAAGATAAATTTTATACATTCAGATGTTAAATCAAACAGTCTTAATTATTTCTATTCAGATCTTAATACATATCTTAATATATTCAGATGTGTATTCAGATTCAGATGTCTTAATCTTAATACACATCTTGATATTCAGATGTGTATTCAGATTCTGACGTCTTAATCTTAAAAAAAACAAATGAGGCCTTAAAGTGGTTTAAAATTTACTTCGTTCAGTTTTATATATATATATATATATATATATATATATATATATATATATATATTGTCAATTTTAGTAAATAAACTTAATTTTTTTTCCTATTTTATTTTATTATTAATTATTTATTCCTCAAATTATTTCTCTAGACTTTTTAAAATAATATTAGTATTATGAGTATTATGGTAAAATATATATATTTTATTTATTATTTCTTAGAGGGAGTACAAAATTCATTGTGATAAGTACAACTGAACAAAGGGAGTACTTCAACCAATGGCAAATTCGCGAACACACATTCGCATAATTTCTTGAAAAAAACACAAGTATAATATACTAGAGCTTTATGAATTAATATGAAAAACTCATGAAACTTCAATGTATTATACTGGAAGTATCTTTCATCCAAACTACTATAGAAAATTGTAATAAAATGGTATGGAACAAAATACCAGTATAAAATACCGGACGTTTGTTAATTTAATATGTATAACTTAGACACTTCCAGTAAATTATACTGGAAGTATGTGTCACTCCAGTAACCCCAGTATAATAAGCTGGAATTTGCTTAGTTAATATGAAAAACTCAAATAATTCCAGCTTATTATACTGGAGTTATATTTTTTAACAGTATAACTTCTAAATATCTAATTATTTGGGTTCATTAAATACATGATGCATACAAATTTCTTGCTTATCGCATTCGATGGCAAATGGACAGCAGATTACAAGTACTTAGATCATAAAACGAAGCTTCTCCTTATAAATGATGGGACTTCATTTGAAGAATTCATAAGTAAAAATTTTCAAGTTATGGAGGTCGACAATAACAAGTTTGAAGCAAAAGTATGGCTTAATATCAACCTAGGTACTGCTAAGGAAATACAAGTGACAAAAGATGAAGATCTTACCTCGTGTATGATGCTTTTAAAAATGATCCATACTATAAAGGTTCCAAATTCATTGTTGAAATATCAGAAATACCAGATCAACAACCAGAAGGTAATGCAATAATGAAAATTGACAATCAACAATTATTGCACAGAAACACATATGTTCCGGAAGAGCAAGTGATACTGATATCTCAAATAGCAGAAGAGCAGGAGATGCCAATTTATGACATTACAATGGAAAATGAAATTGTAATTCCTGTGGAAGATCAACATATTGAATCAATAGACACTATTGAAGGAAGAAAAAGGAAAGGCAAAAGAATCCCCATCAATAATACTAAAGGAAGATGCATCATTGGATGATGTAAAACTCGGTTCTGTTTTTCAAGACAAAAATGCTATGATTAGATGTTTTTACTTAGCAGCTATAATGTCACGACCCCCAAATACCGGTCGTGATGGCGCCTATCACATTATTAGTCAAGCTAGACCAACTATCAAACCATAACCCATTTTCATTTAATAAGTCATTGCTAACACGGTTTAATTACCAATTATCATAATAAGGGTTTTAAAACAACAAGAAAGATATGCGGAAATCAACAAGACATAGAAACTACACAACCCACACTGATCTGGTGTCACGAGTCTAGAGCCTCTAATACAAGTCTGAACAATCTACTACATTAATAGTCTAGAAATGCTGAAAATAATAAGATAGAAGGGAGAAATCAGGGCTGCGGACGCTATACAGCTACCTCGAAATCCCCGCTGAATGCTGGAAAATAGCTGAAAGCTCTCACTCGGCCTCTCGGGCACCTGGATCTGCACACAAAGTGCAGGGAGTAACGTGAGTACGCCAACTCAGTAAGTAACTAAAGTAAATAATGGACCGAAAGCAGTGACGAGCAATTCAAAACATATATTCTAAAATCAGTTCCGTCATGAATCCATCATTTTCGATTTAAAACTTTGAAATCAATTAACTAACAATATGTCCAACAGAGGATTATTTATAAAAAAAGAGTAAAA